TCTCATCGGTTCTACTGACCACAATTTTATCATGAAAGGTGACAACAGAGACGACGTGTACAGAAAATCGTCAAATGCAAAGGACTTTGTACTCAAACTAGTAGGCAAGGTATTTCCTACAGAGGAACTGGCTAGATCAAATTTTCACGGAGGGAGCATTTGCAATGGAAAGACTTGGCTGGAGAAAGAATGCATAAGGAAAAACAGACTTTAATGCTATAATGGCCAAAGCTGCCATAGAGTTCCTTAGAATCTGTGAAGAAACAAGTAAGAGACAGTGTGAATGGAAAATGCAGAGAGGCAGCTTCCCTGATTAAACCTCAGTCTTAGATTAATTACGAGGATAATGTTCCCTTACTGTTACGATAAAGATTTTCATTGTGGGTATTAAACGTTTGCAAACATTCGAGCAAGTCTCCTCATAACCCTTTATTCAGCAACCGTATTTTTGATGAACAACACCAGAGCAATATTCATTTAGTTGATAAAGAAACATTCAACCTTCAATAAATATTCCCTTGATGTGCTTACTATATTTGATTTTCAGGCTGTTGAGTTTATGCATTAAAAACAATGAAATAAAGAATGACCTTTTATGTCCTCTTTTCTTCTTAATGTGACTTTTGGAGGGCATCAAAAGTTGAAGAAAATAGCTTTTATCAAGAAATATAGGCCTGCTCATGTACACAAAAACAGCATGAATGAAGACTTTTGCAAGTGAATACAAAATTTATTAACGAATCCAAGAAATTATATCCTAAGAAAAATAACTCATCGCTCCATGCGAATTGTAGAGTATCGTGTACAAGAATACGCATTTAATAATCCAGTGGTAACCCACTCAATGCTATAAAAAACACCCCGGGTTCTCCAGGGTAATATTGTTTCTAGGCGACACGGCATACATGTAGCTCTGGGACTGTGTTAGCTGAAGAATTACGATCAACAAAACTATCCAGCCAGTCCTCCAAGACCTACCGGCAAGACCTAAATACTTCAAGATATTATATTTATTGTGTATACCAGCACAATAGAGCTGTCAATCACTCCTCAGAGAATCTCCTTTTCTCCAGAGCGGGGATGAATTTATTCGAGAATTTTTTATCGGAACTTCCAGAGCCACTTGAAAATTCAAATAATTCTGTTCACGGTATTTTTTCAAGTATTGGCGCCTAAGTAAGACAAGAATTATATTAAAAAACAGCCGAATATTTTTGTTTTATACACTCCTATTATGTTGAGTCAGAAAAGATTTGATTTCCAAAGCAGTGGAAGGTTAATAAAGTAAATGTCAATGTCAAGGAATAAATGGAGAGTACTGCAAAAACAACTTGACGGAAAAGCCTTCACAATGTCAGTCGCTGCGATCTTTGTAGGCGGTTACAATTGAAGAAGGCACCTTTGAGTTCTGACATTCTGTAGGAATGCGACCAAAAAAAAGCAAGTCTGGTCCGAACCAATTTGGCTCATCAGGCAGCTGTGTATCTCTGGTTTCCTTGGCATGAAATGACTGAAAATATTTCTATTACCCCTAGGTGGGATGCCAGTCCATTGCAGATTGCTTCCCAGCTAATGCTGGTACCCATTTATACTCCTTGGTGGAGAGAGGCAAGCAGGGGTAAAGTGGCTTGCCAAGGGCCACAACATACTGCCAGGAGCTGGATTTGAACCTCCAATCCTATGATTGGAAGCCACAAACCCTAACCACTTGGCCACCTGCCCCCTACATAATAGTGACAAATTCAAGACAAATACACTCTATTATGTGCAGATACTTAAAAAAAAATTCTGTTTCCATTGCCGGTTTCTTCAGTGCTTTGTTTGCCATTCTCAACATTCTTCGGATACTCCTGCAACCCTTAGTGTTCTGCTTGCTGCAGTACGACTAAATTTAAATAACAATGGAGAATACAATGCCCAGTTCCAGTTCCCCCAGCTATGGATTATTTATCCCGGCATGGGATAAATACCGGCATGAATGCGGGCATACACGGGCAAACGCTACAAATATTTTTGACTCCTTGCCTTAGAAAAAAGGTGGACCAGAAACCCATACGGGCAGGGACTGCCGGAACTGGAATAATAGCCTATTTCTGCAGTAGATTCACAATCTCGCGTTTGGACTGATTTATGGAGATTTGAGTTGGCCCTAATACTGTGTTAGACAGAGGGGCACTCGTGAACTCGAAACGATAACCGTGAAGAAGAGTATCAAGGAACCATTCATCTGACGTTGTTGGGGGGAGAATAAGGCCCCGGATCCAGATGTGTAGTAGCCAGAGGAGGCGTATATTGCCCCCAAGTTCTGAAATGGACTCAGAAAGTTCTGAAATGGACTCAGAAAGGGTGCGTAGCATATCTTTGGTCAAGGGGCAGCTAGAGACTTTCAAAGCATGATGTTTCTTCTTCAGATGTTTATTTGAATAATAATGTGAGGGAGACGAAACCCCAGATAATTTGCGTTTTTTCCCTGAGTCAGACCGCTGAGAAGAAGGTTGGCCGAAATAGCTGGAGGCCGAAAACCCCGATGGCAAAGCAAGCCTAAAGGTTCGGGGGAGGGGGCCCGACAGCAGGAGGAGAAGGCAAAGCCACCATAGGATCCCACCCGGGTGCTGTATAAAACTGAAAGCAAACCCAGGGTGGCTAAGAGCAGGACAAGCTTGCTGATTTCTTGGTCACTGAACCCAAACGAGAAGCCATTATCAAGAGATATAGTGGTTGAAGTGAGTATTTGTCTAAAGCACTCCCCTTCTAAGATATCTGGAAGGTTTGAAGAGAATTGGATAAGTTCTTCACAAGATATAATGCGTTGATGAGTGCCCCTTTAATGTAACGTGACTTGTCACATAATGACGTCATTATCATGTCAGGTCAATGCTCGTCTGGATGTAAAGCATTCCCCTACTGGGATACCTGCAAGGTTTCAACCCAATCAGACATGTACAATACAACACATTATTCTTCATGCGGAAAGAGCACAGATTAGAGATTTTAAACATTTGTCCCTTTTGTTCATCTAATGAACAATTCACGTTTAAATCTGTTATGGTTGATTTGTTACTGAATTTAGAAGAATAAAAGAACATTTTATCATAACTTCCGGTCTGATGACGTCATTGGCCCCAAATTTCACACGTGTTAAACTGGGTAAAGATGATCATCTACATCAATTTTTAGGCGATTCCAACAAACTTTGCCACAGACATCTGTTCAAAATTGATTTTGCAGAATTTTTAACCTGCCGCTAGAGGGCACTTGATAATTACGTGCCATCATCAGTAGATGATTTGAAGAATACTACACCTAACAGACCAACACCATTGAAAACAACTTGATACATGTACAGTGTATGTTACCACTTTTAAATGATAAGCCCACTTCCGGTTTCGACCCGAAAGGTCATGTGATTTGACCCACACAGGATGAATAGAAGACCAAATTTTACTCTGCCACTTGCTGCAAACAGAATGTTGCAGGGGGCCACAGTTAATTTTATATGGAGTTTACAACCTTAATGTAATATTTAATGTAGGGAACCGTACCGGAATAAGGGCACCCTCATCCGTCACGGAGGTAATTAACATAAAGTTGATACTTGTTAGGGCTTCCCGTGCACGCAGTGTGAAGGTAGTCTCTTTGCTATGGGGGTCTCGAATGTAGAACTGTACCCTGCATTTTGCTTCTTTCAATTTGCATGGGAGAGTGTCAATGCTAGAAACCCCTAGTAAGTACATGTACTTATCATTGTATAAATACTTCACCAGATCGTCTGTTGGAGAAATTGTACGATTTACAGGGCCCAATGCGGTAACTGTTTCCTTTATTACAACGTGCCAGACTGTATTGGTCAGCTAGCTTGTGCTTCTTAGCCATGTGCCCTGTTTAGCCTTTGACCATTGATCCATAGTATTATTTACGGTGCCGTCTAGCCATTATACTACACCAACTGTTTTCATATTTAACAAATTGTAGTTCTGGAGTTAGACATTAAGTATTGTTTACGTGTTCTCCAAGTGCTCGTCCGCTTTAATTGGGGGATCGTCCACCATCCAACTGAGGTGGAGCTCGTCCACCGCATTAAATACTTAAAATTTAATAATAAATCACTTGATGATGTCCTCTTGACATAATTATTATATGCTATCTTAATTTTAAGGTCTTTCATTGGTGCAACTTTGATGGCAATCAAACATCGCTAAGTTACAAAAATGGTGCCTCGACAACGTATAAAGAGTTGATGAGCAGATAGAAATACATGTATTTAAAATCAATAATTAATCACTTAATGACATCATTCTTCAAGGACCATCTATGCATAAGGGTTGATCATTGACGTAAGTTTGATGAGGATCCAAAGTTGCTAAAAGACCAAAGTCATGGGTAGAAAAAAATTGAATGGGCTTTTGGTCAGAAGACGAAGAATTGTGAAAAAGTCCCAAAAAACAGAAGAAAAAGAATGCTTATTTTGCAAAATTGTGATAAAGCCAAAAACAGAAGTTATGCCTTTTTACCAATATTGCAAAAATGCCAAAAGAAAAAAAATCTGAAGAAAAACAAAAGCTATTTTGGCCTGTGTTCGAAACACCTAAAAAAATCTGACAAAAAGAATGCCTTTTTCACAAAATGCAAAAAAGCCCCCCAAAAAGCAAATGATTTTTAGAAAAACAGAAGCTGTTTCGGCCTAATGAATTACAAATATAATATTGATTTGTTTGTGTTTGCTTAAGCTGGTTTGGGCAGAGATGAGATTGGGTATTACCATTAACTTTTTATTTTCACCATACTATCATTTTTGAAAATTTTCTAATTTTTAAATAATAATGATTAAGTTAGTAACTCGAACAAATTTCTACTTTTGTGTGGAACTGCCTTATGCAGATATCTGAACCACTTCACACAGAGCTTGCCAGGGTTAAGCTGGCCAACTGAAACCATACAAGAAGCACTTACGACATCAACCTATTGTACTTCACAGTCTACAGTTCAACAAAATACTATACCTTGTTGGTTTGCAGTACGCAGTTCTAGATCCTTCAGCATGAGATAGTGAGGTAAAGTAAGTCGCGCTCTAGTGGGAATACTCTTATCTCGAACCTTTAATAATGGTCCATGTACTGGACAATCCCCAAGATGGCTTTGTCCACAATCTTCACACCCTGAATAACAGAACATACAAAGCGGGCAAATATTGTGTTAATACAATTGTGCAAATGCAATGCTTTGTAGCTAAGGCACAATGTCAAAAAATTTTTCCACGGCACCGCACAGCGCCGAGGGTCAGCACGCCCCGGCTGACCGACCCTCAATGCCACCGACCTACTTAGTGATCCTGCATAACAAAGGGTACAGATTTGCATAACGCTTTCAAGGATGACTGCATTCCGGGTACTTGTAGGCAACTGCGGTGCGCCGACAGAATCACAGACACTCATCGGATGCTGGCAATTTTCACTATTTAAAAGCTTTCGCTTTCTGTTGAAAAAAGCACCTTTGAATTTTGTCCACCAGGTGAAACAAAATTGTGGAGTTGTCATGATACTCCACTTTACACAAGAAGGCTTTTGGTGTAACAGTTGATACAGAAGGCCCACTCTCCAAAAATTCTTCTGTTACTGTGTAATATCTCTGTATTCACAAAGAAAGCCTGCCACCTAGCATCTGTGTACCGACTTGAAACTGCCCTCCCGCTTTATAATATCAAACTACGGTCATCAACCCTCATCCTCCACGTTCAACTCTCATCATACAAATCGCAAAAACGTACAAGAAACCAATTGATAGATAAGCTCTACAATTCTTAATTATCATTGGTTGTAAAAGTTGAAGGCCCACTATTAACTGGACTCATTAATTATTCCCGGTTTTGGAATATTTTCCCGTCCCACATTTATCCCCGTTTTCATATTATTTTCCCAGACTCCAGAAAAGTTTCACCAGAATTTCCTTAAAACTTAAAATGTTACATCCCAGACCGAAGAACGTTTTGCAGGACATAAATAATCTCTATATGGCTATGGTATATAATTTTCACCCCATAACTACTTTCCAGGCTTAACTTTTTTCCTAGACTAAAAACTTTCACCAAACAAACTTGTGATCAATTCCAAACATTAGAAATACCATTTTCACTGCAAAAACTTCATATACATTTTTTTATTTCGCTTCTTTTTCACGTCTGAAGAGAGACGTACATGAATCATGAATATGAAGCGTAGTTCACTTCCCCTTGCCCACAATGATACATGTACACATACGTGATGTACAGTCCAATACAGATAAAGAAGAGCACCGTTAACATAAGGTCATATTTACAGCAAGGAAAATTATCGGTTCTATTTTTTTTTTATTTTCCCATTACTGATAATACAAGGTGGCTATTACAACAAGGTAATTCACGAAGTCCTAAGGAAACAGTGTTCCCCTGTTGTTGTTCCACGCAATATCCTTTATCAACATACATGTACCATTAAATGTAGTTTCCTTAATTTGCATAAACCTTTTTGACAGGTCCGTCTTTCCAAATGTACTTTGTATTAAATACCTTCCTGCAATCAAGCGGAAAACTGGTTTAGAAGCATAGAAGCATGTAAGTTTGACATAATGGGATTGTTTCTTGGCTTTTCCATGAAAATGTGTGATACGTGGTACATGCACAACTTCATACAATGGAATTTAATGTGCACAATGGGATTTAGATTGTCATTCTTTCTCCATAAATTAAAAAAACACTCCGGGATTAAATGGCAGGAAAACGCACAAGTGACTCTCAACTTCAAAAATTTCATCGACGTAGAAGAAAATTCAAAACATCACAAGTTCTACATTTTACAGGATATGTTCAAGATGACTCAGCGCCTTGGATGCCCATGTACCTTCTTTCTATGATCGTCCTTGTCAGTCTTACTTGTGAAATCATACTTACATCCAGCCTCACACCTACCTAGATTCTTGTCCTTGAACACGGGCATGTGATCACATGGCAAGTCTCTAGGGAGGCGTAGAGCCTCCATGAACGTGACAAAATGGCCAGAATATTCAAGGAACGGCTTCAGAGTAGGGAAATTGCGCACACACTGCGACATCTCATTGTCTACAGGTGGATTGGACAGGCAATGCTGACACGCTGGATTGGTGCATTTGGCCAAATAACCATGCCAATGCACCGATCCATGTGTCGAGTGGCGAAAAAATATTTGTCACACATTTCCCTGTCCTCCCGCAACCTGGTAGCTGATGGAACTAGTGCAGCGTGTACGCGGTCCAAATACTCATATGGAGAATCTGGTGAGCCGCTTGGGGTGTTGATTGTCTGAATGGGCTCTTTGACATAGGTCAAGCTCGCTCAGTAGCGCTTGATGCTGGCCCTAGCAATGTCAAAGATGGCCCTTTCCTTCTCACGCCGAGCGACTTCGGCGAACTTGGACTGCTGGCTGGGCGGCTTTTCTCTGAGGAGGTGCTGCGGGAATTGATTTTGAAGTGAGTACCTTCATGCAGGGTGCCCACAGCTGCTCTACGGGGTTCGATGCAGGTGGCCGGGGCAGTAGCTGGTGGCAATAAGGGCATCCAACCTGCACTGCTTGAAGAGGCGACCACAGTACAGCAGCTTCATGGTGTGGTTCACATTTAAGTCTGGGCTGCCATCTCCAAGCAGTACAAGAAGTCAACACCCTTGTGCCACTGCATCCCCTACCCCAACATGATTGATAAGATCATTCATGTGGGTAGAAATGTGACAAGGGTTATGTGGACCCCTTGGGACAGTTGTTGCCTTGCTCTTTTCTGGAAGTCTGGGATAGAAACAAATGGGAATACACGTGCTCGGATAAAAATTAAACAGGGTAAAAATAATAAAAGTTGCTAATCATTCAGTGGCGCGGCGACGCAGCTTCTTCGACCACTTTTTTCTGGAAATGATGTGTGCACAACACGCAATGTCCATCACCACTGCATGCGCACATAATGCCGGCTGCTACAAACAGTGATATGGACTGCTCCTGCACATTTTACTGTTTAGAAGTGTTTTCAGCTTGTACATGTACACAGGACATAAGACCACCACACTGTCTGATTCCCAGATGTAAATGTATACATGTAATACAGAAATGACGTCATCTCAAAAAGAGTGCCCGTATGAGGAACTAGAGAGACTCGTCTGTATATACTTGAAATTTTTTGCCTTATTAGAACCTGGAGTACAACTGATTTTTTACTCAGTGCCAAAAAGTATTTGTCTTTGATAATTCATTGCAGGGGAATACTTTCTTGGTACTTCCACTGGACAATGAGCTCAATGCATGCCGTTTCATTATTAGGTTACTTACATTTTTTTTTGTACATTAATTGCTCTCTCCCGAGGTGATGGTGATGGTGCTGGTGTCTTCATCTGAAGGTAGCCTGACGGAATGATGTAATATCCTGGAACAGGAAAGTCATGGTCTTGTAGGTTGGGGCAGTCAGCAACAGGGTTAATCTTTATGCGCCGATCAACTGCAGCTACCTGGTTGCTGAGCAAGATTTTGTTTTTGTTGTCCAGAGAGTTAAATGAGGGCAGAGTCTTTGTACTTCGATGCCAGTTCCAGGCCATACCTCACTCTCATCACGTAGAAGTGGCTGTTGTTGTTGTCTCTTCTAATTGAGTTTCCTTGGCAGGAACATGAGTGTCAATGAAGCCGTAGTATTCCTGTGCACTGCAGAATTTTCTATTGGGGGGACTGCATCCACCGCACGATAATCTTGTTACTTGAAATGAAACCCGCGCCAAATGCATGTAATATTTTTTGTCCTTATGCATCGCACTGGAAAGAAACTAACACTGATGTTCGGAATGCCATTTTAAATGAAATATATTTGCATGATTTCCGGAATTCGCCATTTCCATAATTTCCAAAAAGTTTCTGGCCTTTGCAACCATCTTTCTATTGACGACAAAAACAAGCGATCACGCTGCACAAGCAGTGCCACTTTTATCATTTAGGTAAATATCATACTTGAATATGACATACAGGAGCTTAATTAACATTTTATATATAAAAATGAGTGGATAAATGGTTGATATTTTGTTGGCACTGCCTACATGTATGTTTGTTGAGGCTTGTTGACACTAAATAGCATGACTGGATTTAGACGTTTTAAGACCAAGTTCTGAACAACAATCCTACTATTTTAGAGTATCAAATTTTACCTAGATTCGACTTCTCTTCTTGTAAATTTGGAACTACATGAAACAGGCGTTGCTCGATCTGTGGTATGGTGGACCCGCACATTTCCGTCTCATCTTGGCATCTCCTATGATCTCTAAAGCCATTGTCTTCAACAAAGCTTCTGGCTTATCAACTGCCATTGGGAAAAGATCTGCCCAAGAAGGGTGCCTACGCTTCAATTTCCTATCCTTGGGACTTCGTTTTGCGACGGTTTTCTCCTTGGGGAATTTCTAAAAGCCAACTGACACACTTTCAGCACTGTTCAGCTCCTTGAGAGCCTTCTCTACTCTCAACAGTGTCAACAGCTGCACAGACTGGGTTTGAACTTCCCCAAGAATTTGGCATGCGCAATCATAGAAGAAACCTGTCAGGGTCTTAACCCTAGTCTATGCTATGCCGACTAGAACTTGGCTAGAACAAGCAAGGGTCTTAAACCTGGTCCAACACAATGCCATGCCGGAGAGAACTTGGCTTGTGGTTAGGAAACTTTAGGGTTGCTCTTCAGCTTTGCGGTATCTCACAGTATCCAAGATACTGTGTTTTCAGTAGTAAAAATATTTCTGTGATCCTTTGGCTTGGCTTCTGTTCCATCGTATTCAATTCTATTCTAATTATTTTCGGATCCTAAGAGATCTTGGGAGCATGGCGATGAAAGTGACGATGACATGCCTCTCATGCTTCTCAAGAAGCATCTTGGTCTTGATCCGCCAGCACCACCAACCAGGCCAGCATCGCCTCCACCAGCCACGCCTGCGTCGCCTCCACCAGTACCGCCTGCCAGGCCCGCATCACCCCGCCAGCCAAGCCTGCGTCGCCACTGCCTGCACCGCCAGCCAGGCCTGCATCAGCACCGCCAGCCAAGCCTGTCTCACTCCCGCTGGAACTGGCAGATCAGGATCTGGGCCTCCTCTCAAATTCTCAGTTTCTCAGTGCGCTGAACTTCAATGATTTGTCAG